GGGGGGGGGGGGGGGGGGGGGGGGTTGGACTAGATGACCTACAAGGTCCTTCCAACTCTGATTATCTGTTAAATCTGACTGGGTTCACGCAACATCCTGAACCACAAAGAACTCTTCTTGCAGTATAACTCTAAGCTGGGGAAAGCTAAAACAGGGGTTAGCAGGAGAGAGATTGAGCAAGGAATAAAATAGTTTGCGGTTAAGACTCGTGACAAAGGTAAGGAGGGAGAAAACTCGCGTGCAGGAGGGAGGGAGGGAGGGAGAAGGATCAGGTGTTTGGGAGAATGGAAGGAAAGAAATCAAGGAGTCGCTCGAGAAGTGGGTGGGAGGAGGGGAAAGAGGTGGGCTGCGATGGGGACAGAGACAAGAAGCCGCCGCGAAAAGCGACGGTGCCTAAGGAGCTGGGACGCCGCTGGGCCAAGGAGAAGAAGGGACCGGGGGAGGGGGGGGGCAGGAGGACGAGGGGCTGGGCAGGAAAGCAGCGGAGGGGGAGGGAAATGGCGAGGCGAGGGGAAGGGGGGCTTCGAAAGGATGCGGGCGAGGAGAGCGACGTTGAAGGTAGAAAAAACGGAGGGCTTGATTCAGGACGGGCGCGGGGAAGGGAAGAAGCGCCTGTGGGGAGCGAGGGGCTCCGCGCCTTCCATGCCCACCACCCCACTCCTCTTTTCCTTCCTTCCTTCCTTCCCTCGCTCCCTCTGCGGCCTGCATTCCTCCCCGCTTCCCACGCCCCCCTTTGCACCCAGGTCGAGGCAGAATTAGCAGGCCGCGCCTCAGGCCGGCGCCGGCTCCCCCCACCCCCACCCGGCCTTCCTTTCCTCACCCTCCGTCGGCTCCGAAGCCGGGGTCTCCCCGGGCTGGGCCATGACCGAGCCAGCTCGTCCCCGTCACGCCGAGGCCGGGTCCGCTACGTCAGGAGACGTAGCCGAACACATCTTGACAGGCGAAGGGGGCGGAGAATCGGCGGCGGCGGCGGCGGCGGGAAGGAGGGAGCTCGAGCGGCTGCGCATGCGCCCGGTGGCGCCGAAAGCTGTAGGGCGATGGTGGTGGAAATACCGTGCTGAGGGCGAACAGCCGGCGGGGAGTAGAAGCTGCAGGAGGTCCCTGCTATCAGGGTGATGGAAATGGCTGCTAAAAATGAATTTAAAAGCTGGGGTGCAGATGCAGGGTCTCGTTGGAGTGTTTGTATTTGGTTGGGTTCACACGTTACGTTAATGGTTTAAGGCAGCGCCGGGCACACTTTTTTGCAACTAGGGCCAGATTGCTTTTTTTAAAAAAAAATCTCTAATGGTGATGATGCAGTGATGCTGTTGGAGTTGGAGACATCAGACCTAGACATTTCTTCTCCTTCCTCTTCTCCTTCCTCCTCCTTATCATCATCATCATTATTATTTTTTTTGGGGGGGGGGGTTCCTGGAGTTAACTAAGAAAAATAAAGTGAATGCGATTGTAAATTTATCGCAGATGGCAATCAGAAATCTCAGTTGGAGTTGGAACACAAGGAATAAATAAACAAACAATGTGGGATCTAGATAAGTTGTCAAAAAGTTAATTAAAATAAATTCTGTAGAACAATGAAACAGTCTACCTAAGTACAGAGATTATGGATACTCTGCCTCCGAAGTTTTGGAAGAAGAGCCAAAAGGACAGTTTGATATTCCTGCACACTGCAGAGACTGGACTAGATGATCCTTGTGATTCATTTCTACTCTACAATTCTGTGTTTTCATGATTTAACGTCCTTCAAAAATAATAAGTACAATAATAGAATGCCTGTAAACCTATTGCTGGCCTACATGGATAGTTTCCTATTATGATGAGAACCAATTTATTTAAACTGAGTAAATGGTGGGACTTAAAATATGTTGAACTGAGAACTACTGGTCTAATGAACCCCTTATATTTTATTTATTTATTTATTTATTTGATTTGCCAATTGTTTACAAGATAATAAGTATAAGTATATACATAGTTGTGAATACATGAAATGGGTACATATAAGAAAAATAAAAGAATAAGAGAAACAATAGGACAGGGACGGTAGGCACGTTGGTGCGCTTATGCACGCCCCCTACAGACCTCTTAGGAAAGGGGTGAGGTCAATAGTAGACAGTCTAAGGTTAAAGTTTTTGGGGTTTGGGGAAGAGACTACAGAGTCGGGTAGAGTATTCCAGACATTTGTCTTGTTCTTCTGAAACCATGGAAAATCAGGCTAGCCTTGATGATTTGCCCCCAAATATTAGGGGTGCAGTTGAGGCCCCAGGGTCAAAACAGTCCAGGCAGCATCATTAATTGTGTTCAATGAAGTTCCCACAGACAAGTATATATCAGAGTTTAGCAGCAGCAAATCTGAACACGTCATACCAAACTGCCTTGCACAAATGCAAAGATGTTTGTGGTTGTATAGTTAAGGAAGGCAACCCTGAAATGTTGGTATCCTGTCTAGTCAATTCTTTATTTTGTCTTGACGGTTAAGCATGCCTCCCATTACAAGGATGAAAGAGAGAGAAATGTAAGAAAATGTGATTGGGATTCAATAAGGTTGAACATCATGTTCTTAAATGCAATAGAAGTCTAATTATAAATTGGAAAATATAGATACTTGAAGAGCACCTTATCTGTTTTCTCTGCTTGCAGATGTCACAGTAATTAGAACTGTATTACCAACACAGAAATACTATTGTTGTTCTGTTTTAGAAGCCAAAAGATTATGAATAGTTGGCTTGCATGCATAATCCATTGCATTATTTATAAGAACAGTACCTTATTCTGCAAATTTGGTATGGAAGATTTATGTTTTTGAGGAATAATTCCAAGTGATTTCTAACAGCAGATAAGCCCTCTTCTTATTACATGCACTGTTGTGCCAAGAGGAAAGAATAATTTAGTGTAATTTTTATTTTAATACAATACCATGAATATATCCACTCCATATGTATTTACTTATTTTCTCCTCCTAGCTTATTAAAATTGTGATTTAGATGGCAATGCCTGAAGTGGTTTTATGGACATTATCCAGGATTTTTTGAGGGCTGTCTACACCCCTGAGATCTCAAGTGAAAGACTATTTCTGTAAAATAGGATATGGAGGAATGTGTTTGGAGAACAGTTTAAAATATGATCTTCAAATAGTGAATTTGCCTAGACATTGGTATGAATTGAAGTTTGAGCCTATTATGTAAGCGATAAAGAGGTGGTGAGAATCACTTCCATACTTTTTACTCCATCGGCAAAATGTTGGCCAATTGCATTATTTAAGGTGACTCAGATCTTTTATATTAGGATTGGTCAGAGGAAGAAACATATGACAGCTATTACAGTCTTGATCAAACAGATTTTATCTGTTCCAAGTTGGAAACTATATAGATGGACTCTATTGAGATGACAGACATCGTTGAAGATTTTTTTAGCTGTAGATCTCAATGAAGGGGACCAAGTTCTCTATAGTGTAGCTCTGCCACACGTGCATTGGATCCCTGCTCCACCTGGGAAGAGATTAGAAGTTGGATCCAGGTTGTAGTCAGTGCTTCTCTGAAGGAAGAGGGCATCCCAGCCACTCCTCAAGAAACCTGGCCTGGATCCCATGGAAAAAACAAATTTCATCTTATATACACCCATCTTTTTTTGAAGAGGCTTGGGAGAAAGTAGTAGGGCTATACCGAACCAGTCTGTATTCAAGCCTGGCTATAATAGTTACGTAGGTTACTTACCTTAGTAAGATCTGAAAGGAGGAAGCATTATGTTTTGTGCTCCTTAGCAGTTTTTTGATGTCAACCAGTGTTCTTCTGGTTCCAATCAGATTCCACATTCCACGTTTCATTCATTCCAAAGATTAGTGTTATTTTTTTTTAATCACAATACAGTACTTGACTTGCTAGGCAAGGGTCCTTCACACATGCTGTTTTTCCTTCTTGTATCTACCATGCCTGAAATCTAGAGCTAATATCTATGAATGTTCTAACCTCAGTTGTTAACCATAGTTTAAGAAAAAAATCAATTTCAGAGTTTACATAACACACTGAATTATTAGCTTGTAAAGATATAAGCTAGTTTCTCTCAATATGCAAAATAAAATGTATTTGGCTAGCTTGTAGTTCAGTGTATTATATGAACATAGATCTCTTCTACAAATTATGAGAATTTCATCTGCATTTCTACAAGGAACAAAACTAAATTCCGCTTGTTTTTTTCCATTCCTAATTCAATCAAAGGGATTATATCAGACCTTTAGGGTCTCCCATATCTGAATGTTAACCTGGCAAGCCTGTTTTTTAAATGTGAACTTGGGCATAGTTTTGTTGTGTTGTGTTGGTAATTCCAGATTCCCCAGGGATTGTTCTGTGCAACTTTTCAACAAAGGTTTGAATAAATCAAGTCTGTCAATGTACAACTTTGGAACTGTATCCCATAAATGCCCAAAGACAATGTCAGCTCTTTTTTATCCCCTACTGTAATTTTAATCAGAAATAAAAATGATGCATGTACATTGCTAAGCAAAGACATATTTATTAGCATCTTTCTTATTAATGCCATTTTGTTGTGGAAACTTAGGTAAGCCCCAGGATTTTAAATGAGAGACTGGTGTATACATTTTAAACTGCCAAGGATCATTCCAGCAACAGCTCTATAAATTTGGTTTTCATCCCGAAACAATAGTTTGCTTGCAATCATAAATTATCTTAACCTATCCTGCCTCCCAGATATTTTTTGTGATTGAAAATCTTTGCAAAAAACATTTAGAGGGTTTGTAATTTCCTTCCTCATTCTAAAAGGTTCCATGTGGGTGCATGTTCTGAATAAATGGAAAGCAGATGAAACACCTCCCCAAATGTTGAAAACAAATGTACTAGTAGTTAATGTTCCTTGCATTGACTATAAGTTGAAATAGATTCAAAACTCATGATCTCATGTGAAAGCTACACATATTAAGAGTCTGAAAGCACTCTTTCATTCCTCTGTAAGAAGTGATCACCAAAGACTTTCATATTTCATGAACCTGCAAATGTTGTTCCTTCCTACAAAAAATACTGATAGAAACTAATTATTGAAAATTAATGGTACACAAACTTTAGGTTAGGTTAGAGAAGCATTTGTGATGATATTCCCATGTTAGCAAAATCTGCTGGCACACCATGAGAAATTAATCAAAACTAAAACAAAAAAAAGAGCTATGTTCAATTGTACATAGATTAAAAAAAGAATCTCTGTGATTTACTTCTCTAGACTTGTCTTTTTCCAGCTAGTGGTTATTCTGAAATGGGCAGTGAATGGAAATGGAAAATTCCTTCTCTTCCCCAATACTGCACAGGCATAAGAGAACTGCCCACTTTGAAAAGAATCTACTGATTGCAGTTTGGCAAGAATAGTTTTTGAAATTTGTCCCTTTGCAGTAAGGACGCATAGAATTGAAACATTCCTATATGTTGTATGAACAGTAGAAACAGAACTCGCATTCCCATACTTAACAAACAATGAATTGTTTTCTTCCAGGCAGCTTATTAAAAAAATATTTAGCCTAACTGCAGATCAAAAACTGAATTGGTGAAGAATCTCAAATGGGCTCGCACACGCCTATCTAGAGCGTACCCTGGAGTCTCACAAAATGACTTATTGCAAGTTTTAATTTCAGTTTCTGTAAATTAAAAAGTAAGTAAAGCAGTAAATATCCAGTTTAATTGACTTAATATAGTGTGTGAATACATCATAGGTTGGATTCAAATATATCTATTGGATTCATGCTATCTAGGATTTGTTCGGAGTTTAGTTTATTTGTTCAATAAAGTATCATTGACTTTGTTCATATTAACTAATGACCACAAAAGATATTTGAAAAATCAGACTAGCTAGGTCAAAGAACACAATAAGCCAAACTTAACGATAATTGAGCTTGATCCATAAACCCAACCGCACTGTCTTGTGCTTATGTTATTTTTCATACTTAAATAATAAT